ACGGTCCAGCCTTTGAAGCCGGGAGGATTGGGAAATTTAAAGATCTTTGTGGCAATCATATTGTGCCATTAGAAATCTACCATTTGGAATTGTAAAGCGTTTAAAAGGAATGATTCCAAATTCCACAGCTGTCTGGTGAGTGACAACTTGATGTGGCCTGGGGGGGAGGAAGAAGGTCATTGTTGGGAAAACAGTTAAAATGAACATTTTCTGAACAGATGCTTTAGATAATACTTTGATAAATGAGGTTAAAAACAAATAAAATATTCTGTGTGACTTCCAGAATATAACAGATTAGTAAAACAAACAAACAAACCTCAATATACAAAACCAAGAAACAGGTATATGGCTGGTACTTAGCAAAAAATAGGGGATTGTTCAAAATAAAAAGAACAATAAACAGAGTCTAAACCAGCAAGATGAGACAACTCTGCTGGCTATGGGAGGTGCCACATTTTTTTTTATTGCGCTGCATTTTTGCCAAGCAAGAGAGCTTCTGGAAAGCTCGGCTGTTCATTTTGATACACTAAAATATTTGAGAATCCTTTTTTATTGCCTTTTTTTCCAAACCATTCAAGCAGCTCAGTTCCTGATCAAAATACAAAAGCACTGCACATGCCCAGCAAGTGGATAATGAAAGCGATCCCCTCAGTTTAGTATCTTTGTCAGCAGAGTGTAATAAGAAAAGTAAACAAACAGCATCACTGATGACAAACTGATTTATGGAATTGCTTGTTTTCATAATTTTCCGCATAATTATGACTGAAGATCCTGATCCTGTGGCTGCTGAGAACCTCGTAGGGATGGCTGCTGGCTGGGTGCCCTGAGTATTCATTAACAGCTCCCTGGAGATGTGGTTTGGAAGCACAGAGAATAGGGTCCCTTGGGATTATTTTTAAGGGAAGTTTTTTCCTCACCCTTTAACAGAACCCATACCAAATAGCTTCTAATCCTGATTTCTTCTGGCAGGCCTTTTATAGGTAAAACCAAACCAATATGTACAATTTGGGATAAAAAGGAGAAAATTTACCCCCAAATTCGGCATAACCTTTTAATTTTATCCTCTTTAATCCTTTGATAATTTTTGTGCTTCTCCTGCAGAAAAGCAATTTTGCTAATCACCTTTGTGCCAATCCCTGCATTCCTGACAATAGCGTGAACAGCTTCCATCAAAGTCTTTGATGTGGGAAAGACACACACACACACATATAATCTGAAAACAATTCAGCTCCTCGGTTCTCAATGGTGAGCACTCTGCTTTAATAGAGTGCAAGTTCCGTGGAGGTTTCTAATCCTTTCTGCCAAACAGAAGAGACACAGTCAGGTAGCACACCTTATTCAGAAGTTAAAATAACATGTTACTTGCTCTCAGAGAAAATCAAAACAACTCAAGATCAAAAACAGATTCCGCCAACCCTAACGGGATAGACTTTCTACTCAGATAACTCTTGATCTAAGTGTGTAACAAGTAACCTGCTTTAATCCCTCAAAGCGATGGTGTTACAGATAAGTACTGTAGTAGCAGAGGAGGTGTCTTAAGTTTCAGAAATACACAAAAGCATTGGTTGGAAGGAAAAACAAAACAAAGAGCTGTCCACATGATTGTATCTTTAGCTGGAAAGGTGTACTTGAGGGCACTGCAAGAATAAAACCCCTTGAAGACAGCAAAAGAAAAATAAAAACTGACAGGCAGACATTGAAATGGCGTTTCTTCCGAGCTGGATTTCATTGGCTTACACTGGTAAAGCACAAGCTTTACAGGTATAAGCCCCCCGATTTTTAGCTTCCAAACCCTGCAAGCCACAATGCTGGAATGGTCTGCTACTTCAGCACAGAGCCCTACCCCATTTTCTAGAAATTCAGAGGATATATTATTGACTTTACGATTCTACTGCACTGAGCACCTGCACGGAGTCCTTTATTAGAGTATGAAGGATGTAATGGAAATGATCATTTCCATTTAGTAATTTAGTTTTAGCAATGGTTCAGAATATTCCTTAGCCCTTGCTCCTGCAGACACCTACGTGTGCACCCACTTCAGCAGTGCTGGGGAGACCAGTGCCATCGGGTTCTCAGCCTGTGATGCACAGCTTTGAAAGCTCCACAGCCATCACAGTGGCTGAAACCAGTTCCGAGAACAAGTGTATATAACTGCAGGTCCATTTCTCTTAAAAAAAAAAGAAAAAAGGGTAATACATAAGCTTTGGACAAATAATAATTATTCTTACTATGTTTTAAGGCAATCGCCCATACAAGAAAACAATGCTGCATTTAAGAGCAACAGGATTTTTTCTTCAGATTCCTCTTTTTGTCTCCTGTCTGGATCCTCTCCACAATTACTGCCTGCAAACACACATTTCACCTTAGCCAAATATTTCGTAGTTGGTTTAAACCTTGGGTCACAAAATGGAGAGCAGTAATGCCTTGCTTCTGCAGATTCACTTGTCCATACCTCGGTCATGGTACCCCAGAGGGTCACACTCCACAGGTTACTTTGCTCCCAGGCTCTTTCTGGACTGCACCAAGTAGTTTCCTTGGGAAAGTGGCACAGGCACAGGCTGGAGACTACTGTACCCTGGAATTTGGGTGTCACACAGTGCAGGGAGACACGCTCTACGCAGACGTAGCATCTGTAGAGTAACAGAGTCAAGGGCCAGGAGGGACCCCTTTGACCACCTTAGTCTGACCCCGAGTTAGGATTCACCAGATAAATTCCCAGTTTAAGTTTTAGCCGTTGTGGTCTAGCCAGGCTCTCTCTCTCTAAGCTAAGAAAACCCCCTGATACTGTTTCTTAAAAAATTGAGTAATGGTAAATCTACCATAAATCTTGATAAGCTGTTTCAACAGTTAATTTTCTTCACTACAAAAGCACGCTTTATTTATGAATTTGTTTCCCACCACCTTCTGTCAAGAGATCTTATCTCTTTGTTTGCTAAATTGAAGATCCTGGTATTACCAGATTTTTCTTCCTGTTTCAGTGCTCAGAAGGTATGATCACCTCGCACCTTAACCTTCTCTTTAGAAAGCTAAACAGACGGAGCACTTTGGGTCCCACTATAAAACATGTTTGACAGTCCTGTAATCATTCTTGCTACTCTTCTTTGAAACCCCTCTAGTTTTTCAACATCCTTCTTGAAATGTTGGCTCGACAAATTATTTCCAAAGCAGTCACAACAGAGTCAAAAGCAGAAGTGAAAGAACTTCCCGGCTCTTGTTTGTTTCCCAGGACAGCACTAGCCCTTTGGTCACAGCACTGCAGAAGGAGCTCACGTTCAGCTGATTATTCATCTTAATGAAGTCTTTACGGAATTGCAGCTTTGCAGGATAGAGTTACATCCTTTCAGTGTGACCTACATTCTTTGTTCCTAGATGGGAGACTTTACATTTGGCTTGATTGAAACACGTACGATTTGATCAGGCCTAAACTTAACATAGGGTTATGCAGCCATAAGCACCCTTTGCCTCTTGCCCAATGCTCAGCACCTTCTGCAAAGCTTCACTAATAACGATTTATTTCAGAATCTTTTCAGGTTGCTAGTAAAAATATTAAATAATGTAAGATCCATAAGCTGTCTCTGTGGGATCCTACGAGAGACAGACCAACTTGATAATAAAACTGTCTTTACAGTAACAATTTAAGACAGAGAAGTCAGTCAGCTTTTAATAAGTTTAATGTTTCAGAAATTGCTGCAGTCTACTACAAAAGTGCCAAGTTTAATCTCATAAAAAAAATACATTAAGTTGATATAAAACTGTATTCACACCATTTCCATAATTGCATGTTACGCAAAATTTGTTATATTACCTCCCTTCCAACTGACTACTTAAGTCCTCTACTAGATGTGCTCTTATTTCACCTGAGCTCATACTTAGGTTGAGAAATTTTTAACTGCTTGGGCCATCTGATTCACTCAAATGCTGATAGAACACTTGCTGCTTTCTGGAACTTCCCTGACTTCCAGGGTGTATTGAAACTTGGTGTAAATGGACCAGGCGGTTCCTCAGCCAGGAGTTTTGAACCTCTCGAATACAAGGCTTCCAGAGTTGGTGATATAGTTGTATGAATATTTGAGTGCTTGAGATTACACAGACAAGATGACCTTCTGGATGCAAGTACTGTCTACAGGCCTGTATGCTATGGTAACCTCATTATATGCTGGAATTTATTTTCCTACTCCACAGTGCAAAAGGAGATGCTGGCTGTTGTGGGTAAGTGATACCTGTTCAAAGCATTCTAGGCAGATGATGAACTTCTTGTAATTTATTTATTTTTTTTTTAATTTTAAGGGGAAAATTTCCTCAAGCATTTCGGGCTTCTGTAGAGTGGAAAATACTATAAGAAAGAATAACACAACACTAGGCTCATATTTTCCTGCTCCGCTGTCTGCGTAGGGCTACTTTGCCATTTTGGACCAGAATCCTTCTGTGTTGTCAGTACTCCAGGCTCCTGTGGATGGCAACAATGACTCAGTTATTATGAACTCTTCCTTCGCAGCCCTGTGCTCGTATGTATGTCCGTCCACACGCGTGTGGGGAGTGCAAGCACTTTTCAGCTCTGTGGGACCGTGGAAGGGGCTGCAGCAAAGGGTCGGTGTGAAAAGCCAGCCTTAAACCAGTGGAGCAAGGCTCGCTCTTGGGTGGGGAAGACCCTTCCTTCTCCCTGGCCCAGGAATCTGGGAGTGTTGGGAACTGCTGTGCAGCACCAGATGACCCCTGTGGCCACTGCGCCAGGTGCTCCTGACCCTGCTCAAGGATAATTAACGAGCCCTAATCACCTTGCTGTTCACCTTCCTTCGCAGGGGGTGCAGTGCCAAGCTGGGGTGGCTCCAGGTGGTGGAGCAGATGCTCCTGGTTAGCTGGGATCACTATCCTCGCTATTAATTATTCACGTTATTAATGACTATGTGCATCAGGTGACGTTACTAACCCCAGCTCGGAAGAATACCGGCCCGTGCCGGGGGTGTGCTGCTCAGAGGGAGTCCCGGGGGCTCCCGTTAATGAATTAATTCGTTAACGAGGGTGGGCTCGGCGGCTCCGTGCCCCCTCCCGTCCCGGTAGCCGCCTCCTCCGCCGGAGGGGGGGGAGCGACAGGCAGCGGCTCCTGCCCCATGTGACTGGGGAGCGGCTGCCCCCGTCCATGGCTTGGCCTCCCCCGGGCAGCAGCAGCTCCGGCTCCCGGGGAGGAGGGGCAGGAGCTGCTGCTCCATGGGGAGGAAGGGCAGCCCCCGATCCCCCCAGGCGGAGGGGGGATCCCGGGCCGCCTCCCCCCCTTCCTCCTCCTCCTCCTCCCCCCCCTCCTCCCCGCTGTGGGCCTTACCCGAGGAGCTGCTGCTCCTCATCTGCTCCTACCTGGACGTGCAGGCCTTGGGCCGCCTGGGCCAGGTCTGCCGCCGCCTGCGCTTCCTCAGTAGCCGCGATCTCCTCTGGAAGCGCATAGCCCGTGGCTGCCTCAACTCCGGCTTCACTCAGCTCGGCACCGACCTGTAAGCGCGGCCTTCCCGGCCGGAAGGGCGCGGGGGGGGAGGCGGCCGTGGCGGCTGGGAAAGGCCGGGGATGCTGCGGCCTAGCTGGTTGCTAAGGGGCGTTCTGCGCTCCTGGCGTAGTCGCTAACGGGAGGGGGGGCTCGCCGCGGCTGTGAGGGGGCGGAGGGAAGCGCGGGGGGGACGGCTATTCTCGAAACGCGGCTGCGCCAACTTTAGTCTGCGCCGACTTTAGTCTGCGCCGAGAGGGGCGGCGAGGGCAGGCCAAGGGCCGTAGCGGCGGGGCCGCCCCTGGGAGGGGAGGTACCGCCTGTGGCTGCCCCGGGGCGGTGGGGCCTGACCCCGGCTCTGCCCAGGAGGGTCGGGGAGGGTGTGTGGAGGCGCTTCTTGTCCCCGCCAGGATGCGGGTGAGCATGGCGGGAGCTTCCCGGGCTCCCTCAGCGACAGGCCCGGCGGGAGCGGCCCTCAGATGTCGGGGCCCGAGGCCTCTCCAGATCAGCTCCGTCCCCCGGACAACACCCCCCGGCAAAACACGTAGGGCCGGGGGCTTCGAGCCAGGGGAGGTGAAGGAGCTGCTGTGTGCCCACGCTCCCTGCCCTCTTCTGAGCAGCTGCCCCTGCCACGGTCTTGAAGACACTTCAGAGAAGAAGCCACAAGGGAGCAAGGCCTGGGCTGGTGTCTTGGTGAAAGGCTGGAGAGTAGGCTTGCCTACGTTATTAGGTGCAAGAGCCTTCATGGTGGGGGAATATGTATTCTGCTCACTGGTATAACTGGTGGTGGCTGTCACAGAGGAAGTGACACTGGACTCTTTGTGGCTTCTGGGTTTTAAAGTGGATAGGGGTTGGTTTTCTTAATTTTTTTTCCCCACTTGTTCAACAGCACATCATAGGTTAGGAGTAGGTGTGAGCCCTCTTGGCTTTACAATCTGTGATACCAGCATCTTTCTAGATGAGGTGCTTTTGGGGCTTGGGCATTGGCAGTTATTGGTAAGGACCCAAAGATTCCTCTTTCTCTCTCAAATTTGCTAGCGTATGAAGCGCCACTCGGAGGCAGCCACACAACCTGGGCTTTCCTTGCTACTTTAGGGATCCCAAGAGGAAATTTATGGTCTTAGGATCTATGAATCCCTTCTTGTATTTTCCTTTTAGCTGCCAGCCCAGGATTTTGTTTGTCATCCAGTGACTCAGTATTGTTTCTGTAAACACTGTGTTGACATGAATCAAAAGAAGGGATGGCAGTTTTTGAGGCCTATTTTGTTGTCTCATGTTGCTGCCTCATCAACAGCACAGACTTTAGGGAAACAATTATGGCTCCTGCTGGCAGGAGCAGAACTTCAGTGGTGCTGGAACTCCTTGTGTTGGGTTTTTGGGCCAGTGCTTCAACCCATTCAGTCTTCACAGCTTGAAAGTTAAACTCAGTTCCTTGGAAGTCAGCAGGAATAAGTGCTGCAGAAGGGCTGTGTGTAGGACTCTGTCTACTGTGATATATGATTTTGTCTCCTGAGGAAATGAAGTTCTGTATTTTTCATTAAGAATAAGGTGATACTATGCTCCTTCAGTTGCAGGAGGGATCAGGTGTACAGCAGAGCAGGTGCAGCATATGTAAGGACCACCACTTCCCCTGCCCAGGAATGCAGGTCTATAAACAGCTACAGAAGAGGTTTGCTAGGTCAGAGGGTTTAAGTGAAAGGAAGGCTGCTTGAGTATCACAAGCTCCCAGGGATTTCAGTGCTGTTAGGTTTGCTATGAACAGGTTTTTTTTTAGTAATTCTAGGATGTGCTTTTGTGCTGAGTCCTATTTTCAAGTTTTCTTTAAACAACTCTAGTATAGAGTGCTGCTTTTAGCATTGGTCAGTGCTGCCTTGGTTCTAGGGAGTTCAATCACGGGTAACACAGCAAGTGACATTACAAGCTGGTTATGCAGGAACCTTGAGATATATCTGGAGGATGAATCCTTTAATTACTTTTAACTTAATGGAAGGCTCAGACAATCTTCAGTTCTTTGAAATAGCATGCCAGGTCTTATGGATACCTGAAAGCCCAGCACTTGTTTTCCCTGTGTGGAGATCCAGCATCTGGGGATAGTTGCAGGAGTTTTGCTACAGTAGGATAGACAGTTTTGGAAACAGGTAAAAGAGAGCCCCCCCCTCACAGTACCAGAGGAGGCTGGGTATATGTACGTCTCCAGAAAAACCAGCATTAGTGCATGTGTTGAGTTGAGGTATAGCTGCAAAATTTGGACTTAGCTAAAGAAGAGTGTAATAGTTTCTGTGGCAGCTTAAGTGTTTTAAATAGCCGTGCGTCTTCCCAACCACTTGCTCCTCATGCATGTTTCCAAGATCAAGAGCAGTCTCCAAGGTTGCTGTTCTTGCAATTGAGGGAGGAAGATTTGCAGAGAGAGGTTATATTTTACTTGACTACCGATACAAGTTGGGGAAGGGGTTGATGTAAGCTTCTGGGCACAGAGTCCTTCTTCCTGATAGTAATTCTAAGTAGGAACCCAATAGGTTGCTTGTTGAAGATTATATTTGAGCTGAGTATTTAAACTAAAACATCCCTGGGTGAATCATAGAATTGTAGAATGGTCAGAGTTGGGAGGGCCCTTAAAGATGATCGAGTTCCAACCCCCTGCCCTGGGCAGGGACACCTCCCACCAGACCAGGTTGCTCCAAGCCCCATCCAGCCTGGCCTTGAACCCCTCCAGGGATGGGGCAGCCACAGCTTCTCTGGGCAACCTCTTCCAGGCTCTCACCACCCTCACAGCAAAGAATTTCTTTCCAGTAACTAATCTCCCCTCTTGCAATTGAAAACTATTACCCCTCGTCCTATCACTGCATTTTCTGATCAAGAGTCCCTCCCCATCTCTCCTGTAGCTCCTTCAGGTACTGGAAGGCCGTTATAAGGTCTCCCTGGAGCCTTCTCTTCTCCAGGCTGAACACCCCCAGCTCTCTCAGCCTGTCTTCACAGCAGAGGGGCTCCAGCCCTCGGAGCATCTTCATGGCCCTTCGCTGGACCCGTTCCAACAGGTCCATGTCCTTCCTGTGCTGAGGACTCCAGAGCTGGACACAGCACTCCAGGTGGGGTCTCACCAGAGCAGAGCAGAGGGGTAGAATCCCCTCCCTGGCCCTGCTGGCCACGCTTCTCTTGATGCAGCCCAGGATGGGGGTGGTTTCTGGGCTGCCAGCGCGCACTGCCGGCTCATGGTGAGCCTCTCATCCATGAGCACTCCCAAGCCCTTCTTCTCAGGGCTGCTCTCCAGCCATTCTTCACCCAAACATGACTATCCCTGTGCCTGGGATTGCCATGTCCCAGGTGCAGGACCTTGCACTTGGCTTGACTGAAATTCATGAGGTTTGCATGGGCCCAGCTCTCAAGCCTGTCCAGGTCCCTTTATAGAATAGTGATGGAGATGATGGCTGGACCTTCTTGATAGCTGTACATTTTTAGTGATACAGAGTAAATCCTGAGTTTGTCAAGCTTGGCTTTGACTTGATGTAGAACTGAAACCTCTATCACATGTTCTTGATAATGTTGCATGAGGTGGACACTTTTTTTTGCTTTTAAGAGGTTTTTGTGCAATACTGTCCACAATTGAGAAAGCAAAGGCTGAAACCGTTTATGGTAAATGTACTTAATGAAATAACGTGCATGGTTCTAACATTAAGTCTTGAACTGATGGTCCCTGAGAGGCTGGCATAAGTTAAAACAACTAGTCTAGGAAATATTTACTGTTTAAAACAAAAATTATTATCTCAGAATAGTTTGATCATTTCTGCTGTTAAATGGCTTTTGATAAGCCATCTGTTAATGCTTTGTAAATAGAGATAAATTTGAGCCCTGAGTGTAAGAGAGCTGTGAAACTTACACCCTGCCCCCACTTCCCCATTTTTTAAAAGGGTGATTAACTTGAAAATGACACCATTTTTTTTTAAATGTTGTTTCTGTTAGGTGTATCTTCAGATAATTGTAACAGGATAAGAGGGAACAGGCTTTAGCTTGTGTGGGAAACAACTGTTTGAGCAGTCAGCTTGCTTATAAAATGTCTTTATGCATTTTATGCATGAGAAAATTTATAAGAGACTGGGTTGCAAACCCTCGTTAGCGGCATGGAAAAGAGAAATTGTGGTATACCTGAAACTACTTGATTTAATTTTTTAAATTATCTACTTCTCATCCTGAGTATCTACCTTTTAAAATTGCCAGCTACGGTTACTTCAGCTGAAACAATGCTAAATTGATTTGCTGATGTTGTCCAAGAAAGACAGAGTTAATCCCAGCACTAGCTGTTGTGCTGAAAGGCATATTCACAGCATTGACAAGTCTCTCATATTTGCCCTTTCTGGTAGATTCAGTTAATCAGGAGCTGCGGATGTAAGTGAAGTAAAGTATTTAAGGTATTGATTTAATGATGTGCTGGTGGAAGGGGAAGGTTTGCTTTGAGCAGTGTTTCTGTACACTTCATTCCTTAGGCGAGGGGGCAATCACTAGGTTCACATCACTGTGAATTACTATATATTAGGGACAGCAGGGTCTGGCTTGGAAGGGTTCTTAAAGCACATTCTTAGTGCTAAAAATGTGCCGTTTCTTCTCTGAATCAGCAGTAAATAAATGTTTAATAGAATATTATGTGGCTATTATGGTAGTATAGAGTGATTTTAGATGGACGTCCTTCTTGGCATCTGTCCTACAAGTCTCTGTGTCAGGCTGCCACTTGTTCTGTATAGTAATTCTACTTTTATTTATATACCTGTACTGCAACAAGATCTTATCGTGGGGATGGTAAAAAAGATAGTCCCTATGCTGTAGATTTTTGCTTTGCTCATTCACAGGAGATGCTGAAACAAGAGTCGAGCCCTGTCTTCATGACGTAAGGTGAATGGAGCATTTTTGTTCCAAAGATACATGGCAGCATATCACAGAAGAGTTAAGGCTTAAGAATACTTTCTGCAGCTGAACTGTAGCTGAGCAGTAGCACAAAGCCTTTGGGGTTTTTGGTGAGTATTG